ACCTTGAAATAATCCGTGACTAATTAATTTGATAATACGTGACTAATAAATAAGTTTGTGATTTATAATTATGAACCTATTACCATTAACGGTATAAATGTGACCTTATTATTTTCAATTAATAAAATATATTTAATTGAAAAATGAAAACCTGATTTTTGCATTTTCAAAACTTTAGACATGACAATTGAATTGTCAATACTTAATACCTTAATTGTGTATTTTTCCCAGACCCTAATCCATAATAAGGAATGCAATTACTTGCTTGAAATCTAATCAAGATAGACTGTTTGTCCATTTCTAGCTCAAAAACATTCAATTAAATTATTAACTCTATGATTTTCACGCACACAATTAAGATAGACCACTTGACTATTTTTGGACTACTTCATTCTTTTCAACCAACCCCCTCCACTTGGTGTTCTTCCATGCATATTCTAGGGTCGGGTGAGGTGAGGCAGGATGCATAGGAATGGAGAAGATCATATATTTTTTCATGGTTAAAAAATATTCCTCAATATATTTATTTGATGAGCTAAAGTTAAAATTGGTGTAATGTAATTTATAAACAAATTAATTATGAAATATGCAAATTTTCCATTGTTAAATATGATAGGGGTAACATTTCAAATCAATTAATTAAAGATGAAAAAAACAATATAAGAGTTTAGACTACGTTACTATTGATAGATATATCTAGATTTTAATAAATCGAAATTAACAATTAATTTTAATCCTATATTATATGAAATCTACATTTTTTTAATCACATATTTTATTAACTTTTATCAAAATTTACTAAGTTTTTTCCCCACCAAACAGGGCATAGTACTAAACAAGATTAATTAATTAATTAGTTTATTTTTTTTTCAATACATTGATAGGACTCTCCTCTAATTGGATTGTTACATAGTACTAAACAAGATTAAATTTTCAAAAATTGAGAAGACTAACTAGATTGTCCATGTTACTAAATAAGATGAAGCCCATGTATGGAGAAGATTAAGATTAGATTTTCAGTAGATTTCAATAAAAGTTGATGAATGTGTATTGAAAAATTGTGGATTTCATGAAATATGTGATTAAAATTATTGTCGACTTTAATTAAACCTAGATTAAAATCTAGATTTTAATCCCTATCAAATAGGGCTAATTCTCTCTCTCTCTCTCTCTCTCTCTCTCTCTCTCTCTCTCTCTCTCTCTCTCTCTCTTTTGACCAAGATATTTAGATGATATATTGCCAACCATGCAATGAAAAGTTGAAAAGACATAAAAACAAATAAAAAATGGATCGTTAAACTAATTTTGTGAAGAAAACATATTAAATCAAATAACTAGAGAGGCTATAAAATAATTAAAACCTAAATGCATAGAACTGAACAAGAAGCCACAATGTTTCTTCGAAAAACAATACAAGTACGATTGTAACTTGAACAGAAGAAAATCTAAAAATTAGAATAAAAGCAACATCCTGTTAGGAATGTGACTCAAATTAGGAGTTGAAGAAGTATAATTTGACTAGAGTTGGAAAGGAGATTAAATTCCTAATTGGAACCTAATTACTTACCTTTTGGGACTCTACTTAGGTTTTGGCCATGTAGTATAAATATTATGCTCCTTTGTTAGTTTAGGTAGAGTAATAGATAGAAGCAATTGCTGAATTGCTTTGTATTCTCCATATTGTTGAATTAAAAAATATCGTCATCTGCGATTAACCCTTTTTGTTCTTCTTTATTTCTAAATTTTGTTTTTTGGTGTGGGATCTAGTATACTTCAACATTGTCATATAATCTAGTTCTTTAAAATTTGATTTGGAATCAACGTGTGTTATTGGAGCTTTCGTGCCCTAAAAAGAGGTATCAGATCTGGGTTCATTTTGTAGATTGGTTGAGATTTTTTGGGATGGCTGGGTTGAAGTATGATATTCCGACACTAGATTGCAACACAAGATTTCCTTTATGGTAAGTAAAGATGAGAACTATTCTGGCGTAGTTGGATTTGGACGATGTGTTACTGGGTTTTGAGAAAATGCTAACTGATTGGACAATGGAGGAGAAACAACGAAAGGATCGGAAGGCTACGTCATTAATTCATCTTCATCTGTCCAACAACATTCTGTAGGATGTCTCGAAGGAGAAAATGGTGGTTGCTTTGTGGTTGAGACTAGAGTAGTTATGTATGACTAAGAGTCTTACTAGTAAATTGACTCTTAAGGAGAAGTTGTATGCCCATCGCATGACAGAAGAATGATCATTGGAAGGTCACATTGCCGTGTTCAAAGAAATAGTTGCAGATTTGGAAACGTTTAAGTACGATAAGGAGGATTTTTGCCTTGATCCTGTTGTGTTCGCTGCTAGGTTCTTATAAGTCGTTTCGGGACACCATCTTTTATAGCCGAGATACTTTGATTATAGATGATATCTATGATGCTTTGCACTCAATGGAGATGATGAAGCATTTGGTTGGAGCTACATCAAGGGCTAGGGAAGCTTTTGTATCTCAAGGTGGTATCGAGAGTTAGATTTAGCAATGTGACCTGTTACTACTTCGAAAGGAAGGGACATATTCTGAAAGATTATGATATGTTGCAGGCTAGAGGTGATTTATCTTGAAATCGTAGAGCGCAACTTTTGACTTCAGATGAAACCAATGTAGTTGATGATTTTTCAGATAGCGAGATGTGATGTTGGCCATGGTATCTGATGTGGAATCTAGGCATGACGAGGAGTGGATTCTTGATTCGGCATGTTTGTACTATATACATTCCAATAGGAATTTATTTAAGATATATGAGGCTATTCAACAAGGTGGAGTTGTAATGAGAAACAACCAATCTTGTCGTATCACTGGGATCGGTTGAGTCAGATTGAAGCTGCGGAATAGAACATTTAGAACAATTGATCAGGTTCGACATGTTCCTGACCTGAAAAGGAATCTCATTTCTCTAAGTACCTTAGATGCAAAATGGTATAAATTCTCAAGAAGAGGTAGAGTCTTGAAGGTACGAAAGGGAGTTCGCATTGTACTGGAGGCATAGAGAAGATCCCAGTTGTGTATTTTGCAGGGGAGTATAGAACCAATTAAGAAGAGACATTTGGACAATTTTACAGAACCAATTAAGAAGAGACATTTGGATAAGTTTAGTACCATGGTGGAAGTTCAGTTTGGTACAGTACCTCTTAGATTGGGCTCTGAGTCAGTTCAAAACACTTCTAGGGAGAGCATTAGTAATTCCACTTTGTCACTAATTTTAGCTGGTACACTGTGTTTAGTTGCTGGGGTAGGACTCATTGAGCATAGGTACCGTGGTGTCAGCAATGTTTGGGATGCTTTTGGAAATGTTGAAGGCGATAGTTCCACCAAGGGGCCTTCTGATCATGCATCTGGTTTAATTTTTGCTACAGAGTGTGCTTCGACCATGTGTGATCAACATTAATTCCTTGGTGGAATTGGGAACCCTGGATTTGGATTTAGCTGTCGGTTGTGGATGCCGAGCAGAGGACGAGTGTTTGGTTTATATGGAGTGGATACTGTGTTGAGGAGATTTAACCAATTTATTTTGTTGCAGAGGGATTTGAAATCTAGGAGTTTCGTTTGTTGCACCGGAATTTGAGTTAAGGTGGATATTGTTAGGAATGTGACTCAAATTAGGAGATTGAAGAAGTATAATTTGACTAGAGTTGGAAAGGAGATCAAATTCGTAATTGGAACCTAATTTCTTACCTTTTAGGACTCTACTTAGGGTTTGGCCATGTCGTCCTTTGCGATTAACACTTTTTGTTCTTCTTTACTTCTGAACCTTGTTTTCCGGTGTGTGATTTAGTATACTTCAATATTGTCATATAATCTAATTCTTTAAAATTTGATTTGGAATCAACGTGTGTTATTGGAGCTTCCGCGTCCCAACACATCCCAACAAGTAGCCCCATTGCAGAAGGATCAGAAATAATGCATAGAAGAGAAGTATTACACATTCACGTAGTTCAATGTAAATTGATGCCAAGTAGAGGAAAACCCATATAGAATATAGTGTAATTCAAAAAGTTAAGGGATTAACGAATAATTAAGAACACATTGAAGCCACCCTAATGTCAAATTACATGTTAAACAGTGTCTAATCAACGTACAAATTAAACAATGCCCTAGATAAAAAGTAACGGGATTAAACACATGTAGTCTATGTATAGCGTATTACCTTCTTGGAATTTGAATTCTTGACCCGTTCGTGGCCAAGATTTTCGTTGGCTTGAAAATCGTTTCTCTTATGATAAGGTAACCCTTAAATCGGCTCGTAACTCTTTCGCCGGGACCATGCTATTCTTGATCGCTGCTTCGACATCAGCTGAAGAGGTCTATGCGAAAGAGCATGTGCTGTCGAAATTTCGCCCTATCGACGTCGTTCTCTATCAGTATGAAGCTTGCCCTTTTTGTAACATGGTCAAAGCTAATGACATTATGCATCTTAACTTTTGGAGAATTATATTTGGAAGAGAATTTTAGCAGTACTTAATTATTATGATTTTATCTATATCAGGGTTGATGTAGTTTTGTGTTAATCTTTTTTATTCTAGACCTGCTTATTCTCAATTGGTATGTATCTTTCTTAGAAAATTTTCTTTTTCGTGGAATTTATGCGAAGAACATTAGGATCATGCTTATACATTTTGTTCATTTCAATGATTTACATGATAACAATATGATCTATCTTAAATCAATATGTTGAATCAATCCAAAAGGAAGAAAACAGAAGAGAAGAAGAAGAATAAAGAGACAAAACCACAATCTCTTGAGCAACTAGAATTAGGGTTTACAATGAAAATAAATATAGATTTTATACTACTACAAGGAAACCTAAAAAGGAAATTAAATATTATGCTAAATAATATAAATATAAACATGTATATTATTATCTCCCCTCAAACTCATGATGCTAAAGCAAGAAGCAGCGAGAGTTTGTCATGTAAGAAGTGAAAACGATGAACCGAATTGACTTAGTGAAAAAGTCAGCAAGCTGCAACGATGAAGAAACAAAAGATAGGGAAATGGTGCCAGTCTGCAGATGATGACGAACCAGATGACAATCAATCTCAATATACTTTGTGCGTTCTTGGAACACAGAGTTGTGAGAGATATGAATAGCACTAGTATTATCACAATACATAGGAGTTGGGGAAGAATGAGAAACACCCATATTTGCAAGTAACCATCGCAACCACATAATCTCAGTGGTAGTGGAGGCCATAGCTCGACACCCTGTTTCTGTAGAGGAACGGAAAATAACAGTCTACTTCTTACTTTTCCAAGAGATAAGAGAATCATCCAAAAATATACAAAAACCAGTGGTGGACTTGCAATCAATGGGGTCGCTGGCCCAATCAGTATCAGAGTAGGCATGGAGCACTAAGGATAAGGCTGATGGAAACAAAAGAATTTGAAAGCATGTACCACCAAGATAACGTAAAATACGAACAACTGCTACCCCATGAACTGTAGTAGGAGCTGAAACAAATTGACTAACAATGTGAACAGCATAAGCAATATCGTGACGTGTGATAGTAAGATAAACTAGACATCTAACAATAGTGCGATACAAAGTGGGTCAGTCAATGGTACACCGTCAGAGGATGAATATCGAGCATTAGACTCAAGAGGAGTACTAAGATGAGCACGCTCAATAACATCTATAGCATACTTGGACTGAGAGATAAGATAACTTTTAGGAGAAGAAGCAACTTTGATCCCCAAAAAATAAGACAGTGTACCCAAGTCCTTCATTTCAAAACGACAAGCCAATCTAATTTCAAACTTGCAATTCCATCAACATCATCACGGTAATAATCATATCGTCGGCATATAACAATAATAGAATGCAAACAACTGAAGTTCATCTAAAGAATAAGCGGAGTCATGATGACTGGATGTTAAACCTAGAGAGCTAACAATAGTGAGAAATTTCTCAAATCAGGCACGAGGTGCTTGTTTGAGGCCATAAAGTGCCTTCTTGAGTTTGCAAACAAATCCAGGAGAGTGAGAAAGACCAGGAGGAGGAATCATTTAAACTTCCTCTCAAAGATTTCCATTTAAAAAGGCATTTTTGACGTCCAATTGAGAGAGACTCCATTGACGAACAGATGTAATTGCAATAAGTGTACGAACAGTGGTTTTCTTGGCAACATGAGCAAAAGTCTCCTCATAGTCCAAACCTTACTGTTGATTAAAACCTTTAGCAACCAATCTAGCCTTGTAACTTTCAATCGAATTGTTAGATTTGGTTTTAATCTTATAAACCCAACGACAACTAATAGCATGTTTACCTAAAGGCAATTCAACAAAGTCCCAAGTGTCTATCTTATGCAGAGAGAAAGTTCATCAGCCATAGCTTGTTGCAAAAGAGGATCCAAAATAGCTTCTTTATAGGAAGTTTGTTCAACTAACTTATGAATGGATGCTAGAAAACAACAAAAGGACTCAGAATAACAAGAATAATCAAAATTAGGTAACTGAGTGGACTTACGAATACGTTGAGGATAACGAGGAAGAGATGAAGCAGGAGTTGGATCAATAATCTCAGGCGGTGATTGGGAAGCCATAGAAGGAAGAGGGGTAGCATGATCTGAAGCATGTGTACTTGCAGGACATGAAGAATCAATAGTACATGGGGTATGAGAAGGTAAATTGTTTATATCATCAGAGAATGGATCAATATTAATAAGGCCAGTTCTAGTCACGTTATGAGTATTACCAGAAATAGAGAAAAATGGAACGTGCTTAAGAAACATGACATGACGAGAAACATATAATTTATTATTAATGGGATCGAAACGACGATAACCCCTTTGCCCTTGCCCATAACCTAAGAAAACACAAAAAGCAAAGCGAGATGTCAACTTACTACGTTCAACTTTAGGATGAAGAACAAAGCAAGTACAACCAAAGACTCTCAACAAGGAGTAATTCGGAGGATGTCCATACAATGTTTCAAAAGGTGATACACCTGAATTGTGGGAAAATAGAATCTTATTAATTAAAGAAACAACAGTAAGAGCTACTTCTCCCCAAAACTCACTGGGAACTTTGGCAGATAAAAGAAGTGAATGAACAGTTTCTACGATGTGCCTATGTTTTCATTCAACAACACCATTTTGTTGTGGGGTATTAGTACCTGAGTGATTTTGTGATGATAGACCTATATAAGTGGAGGCTGACATAGCACGTGGTTGTGTGGATAAGAACTTTTGAAACTGCTCTGCTAAGTCTGTCAACATGGGATTGGATGAAGGTGGTGCTCCAAGTATGGACAAATCATTAGGCGGCATGGTGGCAGCCATGTTAGCATTGGGACGATAAGATCACTGCTGTAATTGAGGTTGCTGCTTCTTTAATAGCTTTGGACATTGAGACTTTAATGTCCTTTTTATTTACAAAAGTTACACTCATCAGTAGCAGCTCACACATAACCTTTATTCTTGTCTTGTATGAACAATCGAAAAGGTATAACCAACACTGAGGTGCTAGATGGAGGAAGAGATACTTCCCCCGCAAGAGATTTCAAACGTATTTCCTCAACTACAAGTTCACTAACCACCGAATCAACTGAAGGAAGTGGAGTGCGATGCAAAATAGAGCCTCTGAGTCCTTCAAAATCATTGCGAAGTGCCATAAAAAACTGAACTAATCGCTGTTCCTCTCTAAAAATAATATATTCCTCACATGCTTTCAGTCCTGCTGATTCCGTAAGAGCCAGTCATCCTAAATGGAGTTCATAGCAGCGTAGAACTCAAGAATACTCATCTTTCTAATGTAAAGCCCGTATATCAATTTCCAACTGATATCGTTTTGCAAAGTTAGATTTAGTGTATAACTTTTGAAAGTGCTCCCAAACTTCTTTTGCTGTTTCAAACTTCGCTGCTTGTGTACCAATGGATTGCTCAACAGAATTGTGAATCCAAGTGAGAATTTTCACATTGTTTGACTCCCAATTATCTAACTCTGTTACATAATTCTGAGCAGTGTTCTCGAGTTTCACAATAGTTCCGCTAACATAGCCTTATAATCTTTTTCCCTTTAAAAAATTTCTCATCACTGTACTCCAATACGAATAATTTTTATTATTAATGGATTGAAGTGAAACATCTCTTTCTGCTGCCATCATAAAGTCAATAAATGATCAACTATGAATCAACAAAATTACCCAATTTTTAAGGAAACCAACGTACTACCACAAACTACAATTGAAATATATTGCACAATATACGTATAACCAAAGTAATACCACCCAAAGATCAGAAATTTATGAAGGAACAAATTGCCTTTTGGAATCACCCCAAAAAAACCATCCACAAGCCCTCACGCACCTTCACCATCCCTGCGCATGTTCCTCACACGCCATTGCCACACGCTGTCTAACACCGACACACGCTTGACCAAAAGTTTTGTCTCAACTAGTTGAACAAGGATCTGGTCTCAGTTTTCTCAACGGGTCTCCAGTTTGGTTGGAATCTTGATTTTAAGTTGTGATCGATTAGATTTTTTGCGAGAACTTTCTTCGCCTGATTTCTGTTTTGATTTCCAGCACGCCCCAATCACAAATTTCACTCAATTATAGGTTGTGATACCATGATAACAATATGATCTATCTTAAACCAATATGTTGAATCAATCCAAAAGGAAGAAAAGAGAAGAGAAGAAGAATAAAGAGACAAAACCACAATCTCTTGAGCAACTAGAATTAGGGTTTAGAATGAAAATAAATATAGTTTTTATACTAGTACAAGGAAACCTAAAATTAATAGGAAACATAAAAAGGAAATTAAATATTATGCTAAATAAAATAAATATAAGCACATATTACTCGTGAAATACTATTAACCGTGTTCTTCAATATATGCACTAATTATTTGTCTTAAATTTTGTCACCTCTTTAATTTGGAAAATAGCTTGTGTTCAAGATGGTTTTGGTCGATTTTCATTCCTTGGATTACATTGATTATATGTATTATGCCTATGCGTAAAATAATAGAAGAAATGGAAATCATGAGGGAGGTCAAACATTTCAGTTCAGAGGCTTTGTAATAACTTAATCGAACATGCAAGATATGTTATCTTACAAGGGTTTGGTACGAAAATTCGCCCATGTAACGTAAAGCTCGTTCTTTTAGCTTATGGGCTAGCCATGACGGTGGCCATTTTTTTTTAACCATAAGACCAGGACTATTATACTTACCCTTCGTAGCTTACGAGTTTATGTCTTGTTCAAATTGTCTCAATTCCCGATAACACATTCGTAGCCGACGTACTCGTCTAGAAGCTTTATCTCTCTTTCTATGGGATATGTTGCTCCGAGTGATTATATTTACGTCACATTTTAATTATATTTAAAGTCTTCATTCTGTACTCGTTATCATATGTACATCCTTTACTTCTTTGCATCACATTCTGATATTTAACTTAAATCAATTGTACTTTTCAATGTGATTATCATATAACATATTACCATATTTGTACATCCTTTACTTCTTTGCATCACATTATGATATTTTACTTTTAAATCAATTGTACTTTTCAATGTGATTGTTATATAACATATAATTAATGAAATGTGCTTCACCAATCAGCTAACTTGATCAAGACATCATAACATAAATAAATGATGCCAAATAATGTGGTTCTCATAATGCCATTTGCATTTTCTTTTTAAAAGAGAGTATGCCTAATTAATGTTCCCATGAGTGTTTCTTATCAATATCTTAGTTGACTCGTCTGTATATGTTCGGTAAAAGTGAGAATATGCAATAGAAAAATAATACTAACGCAGATTTGAATGAAAAATTTTAACGGAAAAAAATCATAGATAGAGAAGGAAAAACTTACTATATCAAAGGTGCATACAAGATGTGAGACTACTCCAAATATTAATACAACGAAATCTTATACTGCAAATTTTTTCGTGTCGGGATATCCCAAAATTTTTATAACGTTGAGAATGCAAGCCTCTCATTTTTGACACGATTGATTCAGTTAACGTAGTCTATAATACATAAATGGGAGAATATCCCCATTAAATTCATATTTTTATATTTTACCTTGGTTGGACGTTCGATTAGTATGAAATTGGCAACAATCCTTTTTGGATAATATTGTTTGTACATCAAGTAGTGTCCACCCTCCTCACATTAAGAAGGGTCCACTTTGAATAAATCATATTTTATTTGAAGTAGGCTCTCAATCATGTGAGGGGGTAGACACCGATGTATATGTAGTATGATCCATCCTTTTTTATTCATAAAGATCCAGTTTTTAGAGGCTTTCTATAGAGATGCTTTAATCATCCAATAGCTATTTTTCTTTCGAAAATTTTGATGGATGCGTGTCATAAGATAATCTAAGTCACTCGAGAAAAGAACGATAATAAATTTGTCCATTATTTTGCTTATACTTTAGAAATAATAGGCTAATTTATTATGAAATTTTTTATAACTATACCTAATTTTTATTTGAAATTGTGTTTCGCAAATTTCAAGGCAAAAATTGCCTACAATCCATATCAATTGATTATAGTTTCCACATGCAACTTCATATCCCTACCCAATTAATTTTAAAATAGACGTCTATAAATTTGATTGGAGAAAATAAAGGTTCTAGTCTTTTTCTCAAATAAATGCATTTGGGGTGGTCATTTCTTTTATTAAACTATAAGTTTTTGCATGAAACTGTAATAGTGGAAAGATATACCAAAAAACCATTTTGGAAAGATTTTTTTCCCTTAAATTCATCACACCTGTAAAATAATGAATTTCACGAATCCCAAATCAAAAACATTTTCTTTGGAGTGAGCCTGATAAAACTAAATTTTGTGGTTGCACAAAAAGTAAGCTAATATTGCAAGTCATGCAAGAAGCTAGCTATCATGGTGTTTTTTAAGTAACCAAAATTCCGGATTGAATTAAAGCAACCCTAAATTTTAATAAATAAAATTGAACTCTAGATGACAACTAACAGAATATAAAATGTGATTTTAGTAGGGTTTAAAATAGTACTTTGCTAGCTCAAAAAGTGGCCTATATTTCAATTATAAATCGTGTAATGGCTCTAATTTTATTGTACTTTGATGTACATAAGAAGTTAATTATTTCTTGTAAGGTATACATTATGTACTTCAACATCTTACATTTATGGAAAATTACACGTTTGGACCAACCTTTGTGAATAGATCATTTAAGTTTTTAACCTTTCATTTATAGCACCCGAATACACAACCTTTTACTTTTATTGCAATTTGTCTTCAGAAGACTGTCTTTTTCCACCCCACCCGTGTAATCATGACCTTTATATAGTAGATGAAAGTCTTGGGATCTTATTTACTCTTTTACTATAAATTGCAAAACATGCTTCTGATTTTCTGTGCATTTATCTCGCAAAAGAAGATCCAAAGCCCCTTTGATCTTTAGGATTTCGTTTCACATGGTACAAAATGAATTTATATGAATCAAGGATCGAAAGCCCTCTATAAAAATATTGTTTAGAGTTTGGCTTTTCAAATGAAGAACATATTTCAACGTGACCATTGAAAATTTGGTGTTATGTCTTTTAGAGCTAAGGTCCATTTGATAGTACCCAATTCCATGGAAAATATCATATTCAAGGGATTTGTTTTCCACTTTGGCTGTTTGATACGAAAGTAGAATTGGAGTTCGAATTTCAAGATACAAACACTTAAAGTATGTTTTTGGCCAACTCCATGAAAATCGAATTTTTATGGTTATTTCTTTTCCACCTTGCATGAAATTGGTTTGCTTTTTCCACCTTTGCAGTTAAACGGACACTAAATTCTTTTCTCGGTTCAAAATAACTAGTTAAGTCCGAGTCCAAGTTTGAGTCTGAGAGTGAGACGGAAGAAAGAAGCTCGACACGGACACAATGGGATACAATAGGAATTTGTTGGACTTAGTACTATATGTTCACATATAATATAGTATATTGCTCTATTTGCACTACATGTTATATTGCGTGGATGTTGATATATGCAAAATACAACTGGGTACAATGTTTATTGCTTTAGTAAAGGGAAAAGCCAAAACATAAATAAGAAATTCCTGAAATAATAAAAATAATCCTGTTCAAGTATATATTTAAATTAATGTTTCCCTTATCACACGGAGGTTGGAGTTTCTCTAGGGGGGAAAAAAAAGATAGAAAAAAAGTTGGAGTCTCTTTCAAAGTGTCAAAATGAGTGGGTTTGTTCAAACCACTGCTTTACAATGATTCAGGTGCATTGCAACTTTGAATCGACCTATTTTCTAAATTTAATTATGACTAACCCTAGGCCGTCTCCAATAGTGATGGCAGCGGGGTGGGGCACCCCTGCCCCATCTAAGGCGGGGCGGGACCTTGCCCTGTTTGCCGTTCCATTTGTTTTTTTTTTTTATTTTTTCTCTTCATGGGGGGAGAGTTATGCCCTCTCCAACCCGCCAACCCATTGGGGTGGGTTTTTTCCTCCCTATTTGGGTCGGAGCTCTGTCAAGGTGGGGCGGGGCGGGACGCGACAGGGATTTTTGTCATCCCTAGTTTTCAAAATCTAAGGACTAGATCAACTCATGAAACAACCAATATTGTGGGCCAGCCCAAACCATTTTCTCACAATTTTTTAAATTTAATTCGACATAAATTTTCTTAATAATTGAAAAAAAGAATATTGGATGAGATATATGAGTTGTGTTACAAATGTAAAAGATTTTATTAGTTAAAAGAGAAAAGAGAACAAAATGTAAGATTCATCAATCTCCTAACGAGTCTCTGATATCTTTCCATGTTCATTGGAGCTTGGTTCGAATATATGCCTAGTTTCAAATTTACTTCCCTACGATTGGTAGCTGGACTACACACTGTCGTACAAAGTTTCACTTAACAGGTTTAAGGCATATTTTGGTTGAATTAGAAAAATACCTTCCTTTGACCTTAACACTTTATTTCCAAGGGAATATTTAAAGTTGTATTTTTTTTTCAAACAAAACGACAATATAATATTCTTCTGAAATATTAAATAAAAATATAAAATTGTATTTCTTCATAAAACACGCTTAAAAAATCAATCTTGTTTAAGAAT